ATTTATAAAAGTACACACAATTCTCTTATAATAAATGTCTGTCAGTCGAGAAAAGTCTCAATAAATTGACTATAAATTTTGTGAATTAGTTATTCTGCATTTTTGCGTCGGAATCTGTCGTTACTGTCTCTGAGAGTTTGGAACTAATTTGAATATAACATGAATTAAATACAAGACAAAAATAAGATAAAAAAAATTTTAAAAACCATTAAAAACCATTAAAAATACATTTTAAATTTGCTATTTATTGTTCATGTATATATAAAAATATGTAAAAAGATCGTTCTATTTTTTTTGCTTTTTTTTACTAAGTTTACTTTTTCTTGTAGTTAGAACTTTATTCTTGTCGCTTTTATGAACATTTTGCTTGGCAATTTTTCGCGAATGTTCAACTTTGTTTTTTTTAATTGGAGGTGTTTCTGATTCATTTTTAGCTTTGCGTTTCTTAACTAGTTTGTTTTTCTTTGTGTTTGTCCCATTTATGATCTCGGTAGAAGATAAAGAACAGTCTTTAGCGGTATGACCTATGAGCAAATTAATAAAGAATTAGAGAGACAGACATATGATTAAAAGTGCACTTTTGAAAAAAGTATACTAGTATTCACCTAATTCCTTGCACTTAAAACATCTTCCTACAATATTTGGAACTTGGCCACACGTATGTTTTTCCAACATACATCTTTTGCATGTTTCGCAATGCTCCCACGTGGGTTTGACGCATCGCTCGCATATATCGCAGTGTTTGTATGTACGACCGTCTTTAGATGTGCACTCTTTGCACTTCTTGCAATGCTTATTTTCGACAGACACCCATTTCTCACATTTTTTGCAGAACTTGTATCCGTCAGATATAGGAAGTTCTAATAACTTTAATGGTACATTCGTAAAGAGCCTTACTGGGGAACCTTGTTTTCCTAACACAAACAACGGATGATTATCATAATCAACTTTATAATCGGACATTTCCAAATCCTTCAAACCGCCAGCCACTGATGGAGGATTGCTTTTTTCCTTCATTATGTGCTCCATGAAATATGGGAACATAAATATAATTTTCAGTGAATTATCATTGTCACTATCAGTAATATTATTTAATTTTCTATGTAAATCAGATATGGTTTTAATTGTGTAAGACATGGGCTCTACACGACCACCAAAGGGAGGATCACATATCAAATAAGTGTTCTTTCCTTTATTTTGAGAGATAAAATCTTTGAAAACATTACTTGCATCTTTCTTGAAAAAGTGATGGTTGAAAAAATTATACCAACAATATTCCAGAGGTCCAAAAAAATTGTGCTAAAATGATTAATATATTTATCGTGTACAATACAGTTTTTTGTTTGTAGAATCTTATAATTATTAAATCTCTACTTACAAATCTACCATCAAAGTCTAAAAGAAGAGAAGACATTTTATCTGCATGAAATTCAGTTATATATTCATGTATTCTTGGTGTTCCAATACAAAGAATCTGTTTAGCTCCAAGCTTCAAAAGCATGTCTGTTATATCCTTGGTAGATTTCATTGAGAAAAAATATTGTGCTTCTTTCTTTGCATCATCCAAAGCTTTTAAAAGCTCTGTTGGGTGACGTAGCTGATAATCAGACAAGTTTTCTGTAATCTCATGATCAGTATGCTTTTTCTTTTCAGAAGCAAATATTAACTTTTCACATGTATGGCAGTAATATCTGTTTGCCGGACATACTGCCTTGATTTCGTTCAACCGAATGAACAATTTTTGAGGAAAATAATGCTGTGTAAGTTTCTTCTTCTCTTGCTCCCAACTACTCTTTTGAGATTTTGATAGTTCTTCTCCATACTTCAAATAGAATTTGCATAGTTTTCTGTCACGACAAGCAGAGCATGCATAAAATTTATTTACTTCACCATCAACGTATCTGCCAAACAATAATGTTGGCCCTATAAAATAAAACTTACAGCCTCTTAATATAAAGTTTTTTTTTGACATAAAAATGTTAAGGTTTATTGTTTTACAAATTAAAAATTACCATGAACACATTGTGGATGAGTTTTTAGATCGCCCCACAAACATTCTATACCGCGTGCACCGATTTTCTCTTTTCGTTTAGTGTGCCCACGTGCACTGTCCATATTGTCACATAACCAACAATTATAGGTTAGGTCACATAACCAACAATTATAGGTTAGGGTTTGGTTTGGTTTGGTGCGCTTGTGGCTCTTGGACCTATAACGGTTAGTCCATACGCCATTCTATGACTGATTTGTGTTTGGTGGGAGAGCGGTAGCTTTCCACCAGACGGCGCACACTCATTAGATGGAGTGTGTTTGAGGAATGACGGACTGTTTTTGGTTTAGGCAGAGAGAAACCTGAGAGCGGCCATGCCATTGTAGTTTCTTACGACAGTTTCAACCGCTGGTTTTAGCCGTATTTCCACAAAAGTGGAACTCAAAGGCCGTTCTCCATGAAACTCAAGTCGCAGGTCTCGTGGAACTGATCAATCACGTTGGTCAATTGGCTGATTTGACTCTGCAATTGGTCAATTCCACGAGATCTGCTACTTGCGTTTAATGTAGAACGGCCTTTGAGTTCCACTTTTGTGGAAATACGGCTGAAACCGTCGTAAAAAATTACAATAGGATGGCCGCTCTCAGATTTCTCTCTGGCGATAGAAATAACACAGTTTTAAGCCTCTTGCACAATGGACGGAATAGCGATAGCGATAGAAACAACAAAAGTTTTAAAGAGTTTATATTTAAAAATAAAGGTAGGAACAGCGGAATCTAACATACAAAACCACACATNTATCAATGCAGATCAGAAAATCGGAATAAGCAATAGCGATAAAATTTCCGACGAGTTGGAATTCTGTGTTAAAAACTATGTTATTTCTATCGCTATCGCTATTCCTTCCATTGTGCAAGGTGCTTTAGACACAGGATTCCAATTCGTCGGAAATTTTATCGCTATTGCTTATTCTGATTTTCTGATCTGCATTGATACATGTGTATTTTTGTATGTTAGATTCCGCTGTTTCTACCGTTATTTATAAATATAAACTCTTTACAACTGGTATTATTTCTATCGCTATCGCTATTCCGTCCATTGTGCAAGGGGCTTTAGTTATACCTTAATAATTACTTATTTAATTTTAGGAGCTTACTTATCTAACTGTAATATAGTTATTTATATAAATTTAACCAAAATGAAGAATATATAATTCTATAAAAATATATTTAGGTTTTAGTTTTTTAATCAAGTGTAATTATATATATATGTTAATAATAATTAATCTGTCATCTAATTCTACTCATTCAGTTCTTGATACAAGAGTGGAAAGATTCGACTACTGATTTCTACATTGTTGTTTGTAGATCAATGATTATTTTCTACGATTGTATGACAAAGTCTGGCGATGTTTCTGATTTTATACTTAAGAAACAAGCACCGTTCGTAACATTTTGTCCACCAAATATCGTGCATAAGAGACTATTCACCGCACTATGTTCCCAAAGTGTACTGCTCCATTTATTTATAGTACGAAATGTTTTCTCTATTTGTTCGTCTTTTAACTCTTCTTCTTTAATTTTTACATGGCATAATACAAATGTATGTTCTATTGCTATTTCTGAAGTTCGAACTATGACATGTTTATCACTGTCAGCAATTATAAGACGTACCTGCAATTATTATAAATTGACGTTAAAACAAAACAAACAATGTCATATTCAATCAATGTATGCAAATTTTGGTATGTTTTTATAACTGATAAATTATATGTTTAAAAAATAAGTAACTAATTATATAAGAATGTATGATAAAGATGCATACTAACTTGATCATCCTTGGTAAAACTTTCATCGTCCATGATATTTAGGGACAAATTTTGCAAATATTTGGAATATTCTGATATTGTTTCATTGCTACCTATAATAGCGGCAGTGGAACCTTTATTTTTTGTTACATGACTAAATATTGATGTAGCATAATTTTTTATTTCTGCTTTTTGCGATGCTCGCCATGATAGTCTTTCTTTTTCTGTTTTCATCTTCAAGAGTTTCATATCGCGATTACCGAGCAATACGGCGTCCCCATAATCCACGCTATGTGCCAATTTTAATTTGACTAATTTCATAGAAGCTTTTGAATCTTCTGCCGAGCAATGTCCAGCTTCATTCTGAATATTTTCTCCGAGAAATTCGCGGGCTAATACTTGTAATTTTGTTTTCCTATACCTGTAGTAGAAACATCAATTATAAAAAATATTAAAATTCAAGAGACAATAAATACATAAATATATAAATTAATTAATATAAATAAAATATATAAATATATAAATAAATTAATAAATATGTAAGTAAATTAATATATATACATGTATAGAGTATTTGGTAATAGCCGTACAATTATTCGTAAGCGGGTATAGTTATATTGCGTCGAAAAGTCTTCTCATTTTTTGAAATTCATAATAATTACCGAGTTCTTAATTAATAAAGATCCGCGAATGAGCGTGCACGTTCAAAAGACAGCTCAGTGTTTCACTCGCTTATAGTTGCTATGCATGCGACATACTGTTTATATTAACTCTTCCCATTGAGTTGTTGCTCAATTTTTGTTGAATTAAGAACTTGTTAATTATTGCAAATCTCACAAAATAGTAAAGGACTTTTCAATTCAGTATAATTTTTCTCATTATGAACAATTGTACGGATCCTCTATTACCGAACACTCTGTATCTTTCTTGGATATCTCGCATATACCTGTTACCAGTGAGATTGAATATTACAGAAGTATCAATGATATAAGGATGCATCATTTTTAATATATGCAAGTCAGAATTCAAACTTTGTCCTATGAGAATTGCGTCTGGAGGAAGTAATTTTCTCAAAATTTGTTGAACATCATGCAATGTAACTGTTACATCACTTAGTATCTCTTCAGTAATACCGCTGTATTGAGTCAGATAATTAGTTATTGCATTCACTGGCTTGACTAGACTGTCATATATAATCTGTAATAAGTATAAAAATACTTATCGGTAATAAGTATTAAAATACTTTTTATATATACTTTTCCTGAAAATTGTGCATAAATACTTACATTCATACTTTCATCCACAACGCTAATTCTAGTAAGCTCTAGATTACCACTTGTAGTCATGCACATTTCACAATCTAAACTAAACATTGGGGATGTTGCTGTAGCCTCTTCATAAACATCTTTTGTTAATATGTAAGAGCCATATCTACAATGTATGTATTATAGTTTTGTAACTTTATAATATATACAAGTATCACATAATCATAATGATAAAACTTCACCTTTCTGCTAATGTACCTTTCAAAGGTACAGGATAATTTTCTTCCACCATTTGCCATAAGGACAAAAGCAATTTTGTTCTGCAAAATTTGTCAGTAGAGGATAAATACTTATTACTCTCCTGTTTAATAGAAACAGTTTCATCAGTGTTTAACAATTGTACTGGAAAAGCACTTTTTAACAACTTGATAACATTTCCACTTGATTGCAGAGCAGTTTCCAAAGAACTATATCCTAAAAATAATTAATAATTGTTTACACACACAAAATGTACATAAAAAAATGTACATAGAAAATGCATAAATAAAAATTATAAAACTACATAAAAATTAATGTATAAATTTAAAGATTATATTAAAAAAAAATAGTTTTATTTAAATACACAATGACTGTGTTCAGCAGAACTCAGTGCTTAGCAAGCACTTTGCACTTTTCCTGTAAATCTATTGGAAATATGAAAGTATATGCCAATGACAGGCAATAATCACAAAGTGCTTAGAGCTCTATTGAACACAGCCAATTTTTTTTACATACATACGTCTAAGTAATTTATCACACTGAGTTCCTGTTATAGGAACAGCTACAAGTTCTTCTGTTATAGAAGCTCCATAAACAACAGGTGTTACCACTTCTAAATGGTACTTGAAATTATTTGCTATATTTGAAAATAAACTTTCATAAGCCACAAAATGATATGCAGATAAACCTTCAACCACAAAAATCACAATCTGACTTATCTACAAAAAATGGTTTAATTTTTATCAATAAAATGGTTCAGATCTATACTAAATTCCAAAACTATAAATATGTAATAATTATTGTTACTTTGTTATATTTTTCAAGTTGACACCATCTTGTTGGTAAATAAGGAGAGTGATGTCCTAGCAATGAATATAAAAGCAAATGTTGTACATCACTAAGAAATATTGGTATTTTCTCTCCAATTTTTTTGCAGTCCAGAGTAGCATTCTCACCAACTGCTTTAAGAGTAAGCCTTGGAATTCCTTGAAGTCTTTTTTTACGTTTTCTAAGTTCTTGCTTTAATTTTGCATATTCCTCAGAGTCGCTTAATCTAAATTAAACAAGAATTATATTTAGTTGTACTTATAAGCTTTAGTTACAAATCAACAAAAGTATTTAAGCATTTTATTATTACTTAGGTATTTTAGTGTTCCTCTGTAATTTTAACTCGTCAAAATCATCTTTTGCATGAGTCTCCAAATATATATCATTTAAATTTGTGTTATAAAATCGTTTACGATTGCAATTTTCTTCTGCCATATCATTAAAGCTTAAAATCTGTGACGTGCTACCAGTATTTGTTAACTAAAAATAGATTTCTTTGTTACAGTTAATATAAAAAATATGTGTATGTAGGTGCTCTGAATAAGTTTTTAACTTAAATATTGCTTACCTGCTTTAATAATTGTAGTTTTGATCTTTTATCTTTGTCATTAAGTCTTGAAATTCTCACAAATGCCGCTGCTTTTTCTTTTTTCTTTTTTATTCTTTGTAATTGTTTAGTTGTAAGATCTTTCATAATTGATAAGGGTAGTTATTTAGATTATATCGCTAAACTTAGGTATCGTTAAATTTATAGTTATTTGACGTGGTTTTTTGCGTAAAACGAAAAAATCTACCAGAAATACGTACGTGTTTCGCAACTCAAGTTATTATGAGTATATCTTGCCAGAGAGGTTTGGTTTGATGGTTACTGGTGGTTACTGTTGCCCTTATGGATCAGTGGATCCTTATTGCTAGTCCATACGCCATTCTAGTCTTCACCATAGAGCTTATACTCATGGAGACACTGAACTCTATATACACTGGAATGCGCATCTTCACCTAACAAGCATAGGCTGCTTTTCTTTTAGGGCGATGTCCCATTGAGCGGAAATCTATAGCGGAACGGAATGTGCGGAACCAGCTTGACCAATCGTAACCATAGAAAAAGCGAAGGAAAGAAAACGGAATGGCTATGATTGGTCGAGCTGGTTCCGCACATTCCGTTCCGCTATGGCTGCGTTCGGAAAGCGCGCTATCAGCGCTGTTGCATCATTCTATCTTTATTGCTCATTAGATGTAAAACAAAGATAGAATGACGCAATAGCGCTGATAGCGTGCTCCCCGAACGCAGCCTATATATTTCCGCTCAATGGGACATCGCCCTTAGGAGACACAGTCGACACAAGGCGACACAAAAGTCATTCTGTCTTCGTTCAGTATTCAGTGAGAAACAAAGACAGAATGACTCTTGTGTCGACTGTGTCTCCTAAAGCCCGTTCTACATTGATCGCAAGCGCAAACGCAAGGTAAAGATCTCGTAGAATTGACCAATCACGCTGGTCAATTGGCTGATTTGATCAATACGATTAGTCAATTCTACCAGACCTGTTCCTTGCGTTTGCGCTTGCGATCAATGTAGAACAGGCTTAAAAGGAAAGCAGCCATAGCGAGACGTGGCCATAGACGTATAATATAATATATAGACTGCGCGTTTGGCTGAAAAGATGTCTTCAACGTTGAGAGAGACAACATACTTTGAATAGCAGAGAGAAACCTGAGAGCGGCCATCCTAATGTAATTTTTTACGACGGTTTCAGCCGCTGGTTTTAGCCGTATTTCCACAAAAGTGGAACTCAAAGGCCGTTCTACATTAAACGCAAGTATCAGATCTCGTGGAATTGACCAATTGCAGAGTCAAATCAGCCAATCGACCAACGTGATTGATCAGTTCCACGAGACCTGCGACTTGAGTTTCATGGAGAACGGCCTTTGAGTTCCACTTTTGTGGAAATACGGCTAAAACCAGCGGCTGAAACCGTCGTAAAAAATTACTATAGAATGGCCGCTCTCAGGTTTCTCTCTGTTGAATAGTAACTCTTTCTCTTGTCTATCATTTACCCCACTACTTTGCTAGACAAAGATGAGGCTACTATTCAACACCAGCTGTCTCTCTCTCCACGTTGAAGACATTTTCTTAACATGGCAAAGGTAGGGAACGCGCAGTCTATATATTATACGTCTATGGACGTGGCACAAATTGATAAGCGCCATTTTTGTTTGGCCTGGTATCTTAGCAAATCAAAAGTGCGTTCCGCGTCCCGCTACAATNAATCAGAAGCATTCTCCTAGCACGCGTAGAAACGTGTTACGGTTGTATAAGTATATGTGAAAAACATCTGTAATATTAGCGACATGAGGTGTTGCGTGCTCGGATGTGGACAGAGAAGTGAAAAGAGGATTTCATTTCATAGGTAAGGATTTTGGTATTAAATATAGTTTCTGCATGTGTTAACAATGTAGACTAAAAATCGTTAAGTTAAGTTATTTTGCAACATAACATATAATGATATTTTGCAATTAGCGCGCGTGTACTTCGTGCTTTTTTACCATTAAAAAAATAGGTTTTTAAATTGCATTAATACGCAAATTTATTTTTATATTATATTAACGAGCAGAAGCTCTTTTATACATATTTATAATTAAAATATTATAAATAAATATTTATAATTTTATGTACTTTTATTACTACAAACTCCTGAATAAACTTTTTCTATTTTGGTACTTTTTTATCTCCGTCATTCATATTGTAGCGGAACACAGAACACGCTTCTGATTTGCTAAAATACCAGGCCAAACAAACATGGCGCTATTCAATTTGTGCCATGAATTTTTCTTGATGCGCATTCCAGTGTATATAGAGTTCAGTGCATGGAGAGGCCATGCCTATATGCTAACCAGAGAGAAGCCTGAGAGCGGCCATGCCATTGTAGTTTCTTACGACGGTTTCAGCCGCTGATTTTAGCCGTATTTCCACAAAAGTGGAACTCAAAGGCCATTCTACATTAAACGCAAGTATCAGATCTCGTGGAATTGACCAATTGCAGGGTCAAATCAGCCAATCGACCAACGTGATTGATCAGTTCCACGAGACCTGCGACTTGAGTTTCATGGAGAACGGCCTTTGAGTTCCACTTTTGTGAAAATACGGTTAAAACCAGCGGTTGAAACCGTCGTAAGAAACTACAATGGCATGGCCGCTTTCAGGCTTCTTTCCAACCCTGGCTAGTACGGTGCCGACCTGAAGCTCAATGTTACCGTGCAGACAATATAGTAGCCTCTCTCTCCAGCTGCTTTGTGCGCATGCGGTGAACATTCAAGCACGCTTGGGCATTTCTCTTTCTCGCGTTCTTTCTCTCAGTTTCTAATGCTTTGTCTCGCTCGCACTCACTTGATAGATGCGCCTGCGCATAATGACGCTCGACCATCTATGCCCATATTTGGACTTCGTGCGTCTCCCTTTCTCGAGACTCGTGCCTCTCATTGCGAAGATACGCGACTAGCCACGGCTGGGCTTCTCTCTGGTAAGAGCAGCAAATATACCTAGCGGAAGCAGTCCTAAAAAATTTGAGTCACGTGACGTTTTGCTGCCGCAGAGTGCTGCTGTATGAAAAGGTACCTTAACACTAACAATTCGTAGACTTTTTTATAATTTAATTTACTTCATACTTCTATAGAATTTAATTTAACATATTTTTAAACTTTAAATTTTCTTTAAATTAAGCTATCTGTAATTAACAACAGTTGTTTATGCTTTAGTGTAACCAACTGTTGTTGTTTCTTTTTAAAAACATAAATAAAATAATAAGAAAATTATATCCATACAAGACTTGAACCTTTATAACCCCTCGAGCACACAAGTCAAATGTAATGAACTTTTAAGCCCGTTCTACATTGACCGCAAGCGCAAACGCAAGGTAAAGATCTCGTAGAATTGACCAATCACGTTGGTCAATTGGCTGATTTGATCAATACGATTAGTCAATTCTACTAGATCTGTTCCTTGCGTTTGCGCTTGCGATCAATGTAGAACAGGCTTTACGTCTAAGCATAGGCTGCGTTCCGTTTCACGCATATGCGCGAATATATCTATAGTACACGTAACGTGTAGTATAGATAAATGCGCGCATACGCGTGAAACAGAACGCAGCTATAGACTTATATGTCTATGCGCTTAAGGTGATTGGTTCCCCACCGCTCTAATTGTAAGAGAGAGAGAGAGACAACTACTCCAGCACTATCTCTGTCCTTTAATGTTGTCTTCAACTTTGTAATATAAATGTTCCGTCTATTATATAGTATACCCATAAGTCTATGGATCATAAGCAATTCAACAAATTACAAAAAGTGGATTGCATCAGCCGTATCGGTTGGATGTGCGTAATTACGCTGTGAGTATTTTTGGACAATTGTCGGTGTTTTACACCACTTTCTTTGTTATTATCTTTAATTTAACCAAGTATACAACTCCGTGGCTTGGCGTCAGAAACCCATTCCACGGTTTTAAGAGGATGCTGAACCGTCCTGTTTTATCATAAAAATAGTAAAATGTCTGAATAATGACTTTTGTCAAATGTACTGCACAAATGAGAAAACGGTTCTCCACATTAAAAGAAAACAGTGTAACAAGTCCCGCCAGATAATAAATGTTTATAAAACGGAAAAATTTTTTTAAGAAAATTGACTACCTTACATTATCAAGTATGTCTAGAGATTTAACAGTTTATATGTCACAAAACACACTTTGGCCCGCTAGATAGAACCTGTAAGAATATTACAAAAGTATTAAAAAACACTTTGAACGCTTGCAGGAAGAGAAAGTATTGAGCCTGTAAATTGTAGACACAAAGGTTATTTTTCTTGTCAAAACACTGCACGAAGCACTACGTAGTTCCCAAACTTTGCACCAGAAGAGAAAGACATACGTCTATCATTGTCTTTTTCATGTCATCTATCCTTGTTTTTGTTTGACTCGATCCCGAGAAATGGCGCCAGCTACCCGACAGCGTAGCTGCTAAGTAGCATTTGTGACAGACTTTCTTCGTCAGTTCAGCATCCTCTTAAACTTTATCTCCCACGAAATTTGTATAAGCAGTTACTCACTGCAACATGCTCAACAATATATCTGAAGCGTAACAAAATTGATAATGTGTGACATATAAAATGTACTTTTATCTTATTAATTTATTTATAGAACATTTACAAATAATCAAGAGATTACAATTTTAAATGAAAATAACGAAAAAGAAGTCATTACGTTTGTATCTGATGAAATTTTAGAAACAATTAAAGTAGAAGATCCTAGTGTGTAAGTTTTTACTATGTACTTTATTTACATTTTATACATGTATTTATTTTATATCTTGTACAATTTCAAATACACAAGGTATCTGAAAAATTTTCATACAGCCGAAGTATAGAGATAAACTGAGGTAATCTTCTAGATAAAAAAGTTATTTGTCAACTTGCAAAATTTGTTATTGAATAATTAATTAATAAAATGAATCAATAAGCGCAATAAGAAACAATAGTTATGTATTAAAATTTTTCAGACATCCTGTATATGTGTGATATCAAGTAATTATAATATTTAAAATTTTATATTTTATATTTTATATTTTCAAAAATAAATAAAATAAATTTATTTATATTATTACATTTACTTATATAAAATTTTTTCAGAGAAATTGTAGGGTTTATTGAAGAAAATGAAAGACCAAAAATAGTGGGCAGAGCCCAACACTATAGATTATTAAAATTGATGAAACAACAACAGTCATCATAGAGTTTAAGTCGTAGCACGGAATGCCGAAATAGAACGTATCGAACATCATTTACAACCTAATCGAGTAACTTTGTAATAATAATACAACTTGTAAAACCAAATTTTTTGTTATTTTCTTATCTCTATTCATAAATAAGTATTTACATAATATCTAAATTTCTTTTCTTTATTTTAATACAATATCTTAGTATAATCAAACTACATTCTTGCATATTTTAGATTATTCATATTGATGGTGCTAAAGCTAAAACACCAAAAATTAAAGAGTTCAATCATGGAACCCTTCCTTACGAACTGATTATTCGTTCAAACACCATTATAAATACTTTAGGTGTCTTTGATTTAAAGAAAAAAATTAACGCCGTAGAACCACAATCGGTCGATTTGCCCGACAATTGTAAACATTTAAACTCGTGTATTCGTAAGCATTAATGCAATACTTACGATATGTTTACAAAAATTCTTATCTTTATCTTCTCTTTCTTTTTATTTCTATCTTTATCTACTTTTTTTCGTTTTATTTTCTTTTTTTATTTTTTTCTCTTTTTTAGTAAATTATATTAAGATCTTTTAAATATGAAATAATATAGAATAGAATAGAATAGATAATTTATTGAATTCCCCTAAGGATTACAATTATATATATATATATATATATATATTACATCTAGCTTATAATAATATTTACTTATATTAACTTAACTCTATCTTACTTTATCCCTTATACTAGTAAATTAGCTTAACTTAACACATTGTTGACCGGTCACGAGTTAACTTGTGTTTTTATGGCCGAACGTTGCTGACCGGTCACGAGTTAACTCGTGATGCGTTTTTTTTTCGCATCGCTGTTGTTTTCTCTGTTGGCGACCATACAGTGCAATTGTTGGTCAGTATAACACAAGCTGTTTCTCTCGCTTATAAAACTCGCCAAATCTTTTGTTGTAAAAAATATTTAATAATAAAATTTATTAAAGTTTATTTTTATTGTTTTACTTCCACTTCCAATTACGAAATAATAGCCGGTGACATGAGATAAATTTTCAGTAAAATTGCCGGTCAACAATGTGTTAACCTACGCACACACACACGCTCCTAACCCTAAATGTGGACCTCCGCTAGTATCCTTCCGCTCACATTTATTCATAACCTTACTCTCTCACACCCACACTCACACCTCCCCTCTCTCCAACCCCTTCTTAATTTTATTTTCTTTTTCTCTAAACTCTTCCAATTTCTTCAACCAGCTCTCCCCGCCCTTGTCCTCTCCCAGCACTATCCTCATCATATCTTCCCAATTTCCTATCGCTCCTCATCTCCCACACTCCTCCCATACATGTTTTCATTCTTCTATTTCACACCCACACATTCTACATATTCTATCCTCTTCCTTCATCCAGTATCTCCCTCCCTCATTGCCTAGCCTAAATCTTGCTATTCTTTGCCACCTCCTTTCTTTCCAACCTTTTTTCAAATATTCTGGGATCCCCTCTCCTCCTTATACCATCTATTATACTGTGACTCTCTTATTTTAGTCCACCTTTCTTCCCTTTGCATCTTCTTTTCTTCTTCAAACACAACTTGTCCTTTTCATTCTCCTTTTTCTTTCAACTCCCTCATCACAGCCATATTTATTCCTCTCTTCTCATAATATGCTATCCTTTCTCTTTCCCAATCCGACACTCCCTTCCTCCCTGCTTCCCTACTCCTAATCTCTTCCTAACACCTCCTTGCTATCTTACTCCCTCCTCCTCTCCCAGTCTTTCCTCAAATCTTCTTGCTCTTTGCCCCGCTCTTCTTCTTAATAGATCCCTCTGCAATTCTTTCCTCACTGAATATCCCGGTGTCATCCAATCAACTCCTAAAATCCATCTCAAGTATCTGTCTTGCATCCTGTCCATCCCCTTTCTTGTTCCTTCCAACCCTATATTTCCACTCCGTATCTTATCACCGACCACACCAGAGAATCAAACATTCATACTCTCTTACCGCAATCATTACCAAACCTCCTTTTCCCTAACCTGTCCCATTACTGCCGCCCCTTTTCTTACCCTATCCTTGATATGCGCTTCCTTCACTCCATTCCTCTGGAATACAAACCCCAAATATCTAAACTCTTTCATCTCTTTTATCATCTTTCTTCTCCACCACCATTCCACTTTCTTCTCTCTTCCACTTCCTTTCCTAAACCTCAGTATTTTTTATTTTTCAACATTTAATTCTAGTCCTTTCACCCTTAAATACCTCTCTAGCTCTCTCATCATTCCCCTCACCCTCTTCCTCTTCTGCCAGCAACACCACATCATTTGCATATGCTAAGGTAAACACCTTTCCCTCTTTTAAATTTACACCTCCCCATCTCCCTTTCCTCATATAATCCTCCAGATCCGCCGTCATCAGGTTAAACAGATCTGGACTCAGCGGACATCCCTGCCTTACTCCGGGCGTGTTCCGTTTGACCACAGTACGATTCGACACCGATCGATTCGACACCAAATTATTGGACACAGATTTATTCGACACCGTACGATTCGACACCAAATTATTCGACACCGTACGATTCGACACGAAATTATTCGACACC